TCATGTCGATGATTGAAAAGAAGTTGAGTGTGGAAATATCGCTTCTTTCCTACTATAAGCGGTGTGTGGATGATATTTTAGTGTGTAGCTCATCAGAGGAGCACATTGCGCGTCTGGTCGATCGCCTGAATAACATGCACACGAATCTGAAAGTAACCAGCGAAACAGAGGAAAGCAACTGCCTCCCATATCTGGACGTGTTGATTTGCCGAAGAGCAGATGGGTCCATCAAAAGAGAGCTTTACCGAAAACCGACTTGGTCAGGGCAGTACCTGCACTTTACCAGCTTCTCCCCGATGTGGTACAAGCGGACCTTAGTCAAGACGCTGTTCAACCGTGCAAGGAAAATATGCACTACCGACAGTTTAGATGATGAGATAAACTTGCTCAAGGATACGCTGTTGAAAAATGGCTATCCAAGTACGTTCATCGACAAATATAGTCAGGCGAGGGTGCCGGGACAGAAGGTTTCGAGAGTGTCTAAAAAGAAGATCTACATTGAGCTACCATTTAAGGGAGATTTTGCCAATATGAGGACAATGAAGCGCATAACTTCCGCAGTCCAGAGGACCTATTATGCTGCCGAAACTGTCCTTATCAACCGGACTAATCGAATACCTGTTACCTCAATGACAGAAAGACAACCTATTGGCGCCAACTCACATTGTATTTACCAAGTTACTTGTAGTTGTGGTATACACTACATCGGCCGTACCAATTGATCGTTGAACTCCAGAATAATGGATCATGTACCCAAATGGTTGCAGCGTCAAATCACCCAGTTGTCGGTTGCTCATACCATCTGTTCACGTAAACCACCTGCTTCATCCATAGGCAGGCATTTACTGGCCACCTGTCACCAGTTTGATCCGGCCAAAATGTTTACAATCGTGTTAAGACATGCTAACGCCCGTTTCCTACGTTTTGCAGAGGCAGTCGCGATCAGCCGTATCAGACTCGTACTCTTTGTGCAGAAACAGCTGTTCGTAAGCATACGGCTGCCCTGGGCGTAGGGGTGCCACGCCTGCCCCTCTACCCTGTTCTAATTTGTTCCGGTCTCACCCTACCTGTCGTCTCATATATTTTCATGTTATTGTGTTGGCACTGAAGGGACAATACGAAATGTTGACATCTGCCAGTGTTCGTCTTCTTACGGCATGATTCACATTTTACTGTAGTTCACCGGCCGATTAGAGGAAGCATAATGTTAATTAGCGCGAGGATCTTTCGGGAAAGATAATCCAATTAACAAAAGATTCCATATTTGAGCGTCCCATTAGCTTGATGTGCATTTTGTTACTGTTGTGTGCATCTGCTCGGCAACAGTGCAATCGTCATTCCATTTAAGCAAGATGAAAATGAAATTAATCGACGTTTTTTGAATCCCCAAAGGTGAGTTTCAAGACATACGAAACCCGTTGTCTTGTCGGATGTGGTTAAAGTCTATAGATAACACACATGGTTGTCAGCAAGCTGAATTGTTCACCGACGGATTAGGGAGATGAACACCTCACTGCCCACATGTGAGGAGCTTCGAAAAATGACGACCTATCATTTAACTGTCAAATATTTCGGAATACGCTTGGAACCGACTGGAGTTTTGTGATTTCAGAAGGTTTTGGATAAAAAGCTTACAAAAAATGGTTGGTATTCAAAACCTAAAACTATAACCTTCAGGTATTTTGCCCTACTAGACGGGATCGCGCTTGACTGTCGTTCACAGTTAGACCGTTTGACATTCGTGACTATGTCCTGTCACGTGCTTGGGTTAGACGCACGCACTTTTGACGTTCAGAGTTAGACCGTTTATCATTCCTGTTTACCATTTAGTGTGGTTGGCTGATTGATCTATCGATTTTTGTGTACGCCTTTTACACAAGTATGTCAGTTTTCAAGACAGCTGCTCCCACCGTGTGTGTCCTTGTTTTTCATTCGGAGTGGCTTGCGAGCAGTCAAACGTTATAATGGACTGGCGACGGAATTGAAGTTTGCAATCCATGACGACCCCTTTGGAATTTCTTTAAGAAATGCTGTCCAGATAACAAGCGCTGTTCGAGGCGTGACAGCAACGCTTAATGCAAACATTGACAACATGGATGTCGTTGCAGTCGGCATCTAAGTACTCACTGGTTTCCACTGCAGACAAATTGGCGCAGGATTTCATTACCGACCGGACGATGACCTCATTTATGAATCATGGCTTCCCCGCTATGGAGATGTTAAAAATTGCTGGGCGTGAGCTAGTCGATGTAGCTCAAATGCGAATTCTGTTGAAGCAGTTGGGTCCAAAAGCGGATGAAAATATTACATATATTCTACCCACGAACCTATGCGCTGTATCCTTGGATGACACTGTGAAACACTTAAACAAGATTTTCGGCCCTAATACTTCACTCTTCAACACACGTTTCCGATGTTTTCAATTGATTGAATTAGATAATTTTGATTGATTGGATGATTTTATGACTTATACAGCTATCTTAAGCAGAGAATGAAAGCGTTTTTAGCTTAACACACTCATTGGTGATCAGGTTAAACGCGCTCATTTTGGTTTGTGGATTAAGTTCTCCAAAATATTCCGAAATTCGAACGCGTTTGTTTTCCATTTTGGATTTTAATCTAGAAGTCTCGATACAGGAGCTTGTAAAGGAATGTTAACGTATGTTGCCACTGAGGTATGACGCAAGAATGATCCAAAGGGACAGTGAGTCTTGTGTGGTGGGTGTTCGTAATGTTCCTGCATGCCCCAGGCCATCGCACAAATCAGTACGTCGCTCCGACTTCGCACGCTGACGCCAATCGCCTAGTGCTTCTTGGCACTGTGGTCAGTGGCACTTCGCTCGAGTTTGTGTATTAAGACAACATATTTACGAGCGCTATGGGAACACTGGACAAAAAGAAAACAGATTTGTGCAGAAAGCTTCAGGAATACCGTCACAAAACCATGCCAAAACTCCAAGTATTCCGCCTTGCCTTTTAAGTGGGGTGTTTTCAACCAGTAGCCCGAACTATCGGTCATTGTGGAGGTAATGTTAAGATTGTGATAAACGGTGTTTCTGTCCGCGTCTACTGGATACGGCTCCCAATATTGCCATAACTTCTGAGTCGACCTGGATCAGGCTCGGTAAACCCATAAGTGTTCAAACTTCCCACGTCGCTCACGACGCATCCGGTTCGGAAGTACCCTTTCTTGGACAGTTCAGTTGTGCGTTTGCACTTTTCAGTTTACATGCTAGGTGTTTCTTATGTCACTCGTTATGAACGGGACTAGAAAAGAGAACTACTCATGAGAATGAACACGATGCAGCGTTTCTATCTGGTGACCTTGTTTAAACAAAACCCCGAAAATATTCCGTAGCTCGAGACTGTGGTGGCAACTGACAGTGCATAAGCTGATGTTGACATAAAAGTTCGCGTCCTGCGATGTGACTATAAGTACAGAGTTGAAGGACCGGGCCGTCGTCACAATCTTCTCGTTTATCCAACATCACAGTTCAAACGAAAGCCTTACCAAATGCTGCGCTATACTTGACAACCATCTCATTCCATCCACTGTTCACCCGATCCTCCAGAGCGACTACCATGTAAGTCACAACTATGTGTTGCCTCCTAAAAGTCACCAACTCCGGCTTATATTGCCTGGAACCCGTAGGGATAAATTGTTCAGTGCGGGTGCGAAAGGTGTTCTGCAGCGCAAGCTGATCAACCATCTTGACAACTCGATTGTGGCGACAGCCCCGGGCGTTATGTGTGATACTGCACAAAAGTCAAGTATCATGTGTTGCGATTGTTTGATACCCGAGGGATATATACACAACTGTGAATTCCTCTGTGTAGACCGGTCTACACGCGACCTCGGAATCAGATATTTCTGCACCTTTAACATTTCAGAACAGATTGAGTTCCACATAGCAAGAGCCAAAAAATCCATGGCAAACATATCCTATAAGGTGCACACCATATCCGCCATAACTAAACCTTTTAAAATCCCCACTCGTCCCATCCAAGAGTATTGTAACCTAATCTGTGGCAACATGAGGACATCAGAGAGAACAACAATAGAAATCCAGTAACTACGCTTTGCTAAGGACCTATTTTTGAAAAAATTTCTACCATGAACTATCGGGAGTGGTGCCAGCAGCTCCATCTCCAGCCGATTCAGCTACAAAGAAAAAAGGTATAACTTGAAACGGCTGTACAATCTGATTAATGGCAATGCCTGTTGCAATCCATCTACATATTGCAACATAGTTCCACGAGGGTCATTGGTAACCATGGCTTTACCCTGGTTAAACTACGATACAGGAGCAATATGCGGTTCAACTTCCTTCCAACCAGCTATGCTGTTCTGTGAAATCAGCTCCCAACCACAGTTAGGCTAGATGAGACTGTAATCATTGCGCAGTAATTTGGGAAGCTACCTCGACCTAGATACCGTTTTGTCATTTTGTTCCTGGGGAGGATCATCTGAAGATCAATTTAGTGAAGGCCCAGAAAACGTCTAACGAGTGAAATACCGAAGAGTGTGCAATACAATTACCGCGCAGTGGTTGCAAAACCCAAAGTGCAACAGTGCCTCCTACATTTGCACAAAACACAAACCAGTTAGTTATGTGCCTGGCCAGTAACACAAACACATATAAGAACAAGCGTGCAGGATATTATTCGTAAATAACTGATGTGTGCCAAGTGTGAAGGCACCTTCTCACCTGATGAGAGATCTACCTATTATTATTAGTTATGCTAGTATTGTGGTAAGAGAAAACTAATTTGCATGTTTGCAAGATAAAAGAAGTATATTTGTTCCGAGCTGCAAGTGTCCAGCGATCAATAAGCCATGCAAACACCCACCGTCAACCACTTCGATGCGCGCTAGTAGCCTAACTTTTCAGTGCAGAACAACTATTGTGCATGCGAAAATAAGCTGAATGTTAGGTATAAGAGATGGCAATGCGCACCAATAAAATCAAGTAAATGGATAAAAATGTGTGATAAAATGGTCACATCTGGGTTTCTCCATTATTTATTGAGGAACTCTCTAATGCCAAGTCTTCCACGATTGCTCTGTTCTCCTTCGAAAGCAATCTGCATCTTTTCCAAGTGCAATCACTGTCCACCCATTGCTGACGCAAAATCCGTAAATAGATACCAGCTAGACCATACTTCACTGACCAGGTTCTGCGTACGTCCTTCTTTGTGACAGGACACTTGGGGATTCTCAATCCCTTCAGATAGAAGAGTAGTAAAACGTCGTAGACCAAGTATTTCATCATTTCCATCAACACAATTCGTCTGCCATGAAATATCTCAGTGGAAATCAGGAGTTCACGTCGAAAATGTTGCTTTATCTCCGGCTTTGAAAGTGTTGCGCATTTTTTACGATTTTCAATGATGTATGAAAGTATTTTCCGATCTATAGTTGAAAAGCCGAGACGCTCATGTAGTTCAACAGCCTAAAACAAATACGGACAAGCTACCAAATAAGATTCACGCCATAAAAGTAAATTCTTATAATGGACGGAGGGGCAGGCAATTCAAATGAAACATTCCAATTTTTGTGCAACGACAGTTCATCTTTGGATACACAGGTAACTTATTATTCACCTCGAATATCTATACGCACAAAGTTTTGGCATAAGTAGTGCAGATGCTCATAACATTTATTTTTCTCATTACGACGGTTGCTAATCCGTCATGCTAAAGTTTAGCAAATCTACTGATATGAACAATCATAGATACTCATAACAAACCCATTCTATATGATTTGGCGTATGTTTATGGGGACTGTGATATGTAGAAAGGGATTATTACAGTATACTCACACACTGTCCGTTTTCTTCATGATGTTAAGATTCGATGCACCATCATCAACACAAAATATATTTTGTGTGTCAAATTGCTTAGCTTGCGTACGAAGCGAATGCATACCATCAAATAACCCCTACTCATAGCTGTATTTTGTTTGGTAATCCACACGCTACTCTTTCGTGTCTTTTTCAAGGGTCGTGCGTATTTAAACCGTCCTGCGAAATGGTTTTTCATTCCTTTCCATAGCACACCATATCTGTGAATGTTATTACCTATTTGAGTCTTCTGCTCTTTGTCCTGCAGTCATGAAGACGCTGTTAGAAAAACGAATCAAACGAGCCTGGGATCAATCATTTATACAGGCTGCTCCAGTCAAATGCGCAAACCTACCGCATATGAATGGAGTTCATTCTGCTATTCTGTGGAGCCCTATGTATCATTCATATTGCGCTTGTGTTCGACAAGTCAAGTTCAAACTGTCTTGAACCCGGTTTGGGTTTCCTTGCTTCGCATCTCCTATGTTGCTGATTGGCTCCGAGCTATCTTGTAAATGTTCATAGTTTCTATTTGTAACTCAGTGTGCGTCATAGATAGGACTCTGTTCTGCTTCAGTTTGTCTTCGTATTATCAGCTGTGGTCGTGGGTTTTGAGCAGTTCCGCGGCATTTGAGCAATTGCGCCGCGGGGTTACATCAGACTCATGGCATGCATAAAAGCGTTTCAAGGTCGGTGCAGATATGTACTGTCGCCAAGCGGAGGATGGACCGACACGTAAGACTAAAGCTCTGTACTGCAAGAGTTGATAGAGGCCGTGCGGTAAACAGTGGCCTAACGTGCGCGAGACGTGGCCACCTCCTTTTAGTTGGCAAGACTCGTCTAACTTCGTCCTTGCAAACTGAATGTTGCCACCACGTACCTGATCGGTCATCTTCAAACATACATTATCGAAGGGCGATAACCGGCGTTTGCAGTCCACATAACTGGACAGGATCTTGCATTCATACCTCACAGAGCACAAGGAGTCGCTGTCTGCGCGGTCGTTATATGATTGTGGAATTTATCAAAGAACCAGGAATGTCTCATATTGACCAACGCTGAGGGACCTTTGGCCATGAAAATAGCAACCTACTCAACAATGCCACCAGCGAAACAGCTTGTCATGTAAACAAAAATGTCGACCGTTTCAACTTCTGCGCAAACGGGAATAGGACAGTGGTTTACTAATAGTAGAAATGTTAATTCTTGGCAGGGTTGATTGGATGGTCCGGGTGAATATCACAAAGTATGGAAAAAGTGCCAGCCGAAGTAAGGCAGCGTCAGCTGACATACGGAGGTATACGCATTAAAAGCCGTACAATCTCTGTCGATCAGATTAGAATGGCGAGGTGTGAGGCGCTTTCACAATCCCTGTTACCTGCTGAACATGTGTTGGAGGCGAACAAAGTAGAACTTATTCTGGAAGATGACCGACAACATGTTTTGCTGTCGACAACGAGCTATGTGAGATACTGCTGTGAAATGAGCGCACAGTCAACGCTCTATTTGAACTCTGCCACGGTGGGAATACAGCTGGAAGTTCCTGCGGGGGTGTTCCATGCTTGGAAAAACGTACGAAAAAGCAATTTTGGCAACATTCATGACCACAGTACTGTTCTGTCATCTGGAGATGGTGGCCTCTCAACCTGCTGCTGTGACAGAGCTCTGGCAGATAGCAGTATATCTAGCTGGAGTCACTCATTATCCTATACGTCAAAATAGACTCACTATGCAGTTTCCGATATCGTCCTATAAACACCCCAAGCTATCTGAGCCTTTGTCCGTATGGCGATTCGTACAAGCCTTTGATGTTCACAGCTGCTCGGCGTTGAGCTAGCTCCAAAGAGGTGAGATCGCTTCTCAATGTGGAGCATAATCTACATGTGGACGTACAAAGTATGGGCTGGCTGCTGAAGACTTGACGGATATAAGTGTTTTAATGTACACCGCAGGATGCTGACATTTTGACTGCACCTTGATGCCTTTTCAACCTGATCGGAACAGCCAAGTTCTGCCTGGATCAGAACGCACGAATCTTTTCCACGGAAAATTGCTTGAAACTCCTGGATTCCCACTTTGTAGGAGAGCGCTTGCTGGTGGCCTAAGTGTAATACGCTACCTTTTTAATTAAACCGAGGGAGATTCTGAATTGCCTATTCACAGGTCCTATCCAGATCCGCGTGTTCTAATACAAAATCAAATGATTGTTAGGTAAACATCTACGGATGAAAGCCGGCACGGGGTTAGAACACGCGAAGCGGGCCCACGCAACTCACGCGGCAAGCTGACGAAATAAGAACATCCTCGCAGGCATGGATTGCTATGTCGCACACGGCAGTTGACTGATACGGAGTAGTCACAGAAAATAAATATACGAGGGCTTATGTTCTACAGGGCTCAGAACCCTATGTATGGAAAACAAGCCTGGACAGAGCACTACGTAATCACCAGCTGACATGACATCTCGATATGTATGCACTGACGACACAGCAAACTTGGTGTTTGCACGCGTAAGTGCGTGCTAATGTGTGGTGCCCAGCCACCTGAGCGCCACTGCCATGGATGCCGTGCCCTGGTTGAAAACGATCCGCTGGTTCGTGAATGCGCGTCGAGCGCTTCAGTAACGTTTCACTAACCCGTCCGTACGGTTTGCCCTCAATGCCTGCTTTTCGTCTGCACACAAATTGGTCGACGCCTCTTTTTCAAGAAGCGCATTTCTTCATTTAAGATGGGAAACATTCATTAGATATTAGTGAACCCAAATCAAAGCATTAGAATTATTGCCGTATGTAACCACTAAATGCACTACTCACGTAGTCGTTCTCCGAATGCACAGTACAGGTGCCTGAACAGACATGTCCGTCTTCAAGCAGCAAGCTTTCAGTATGAGCATGTATAAACTGTGAAATCAAGGAAGTCCGACAGATCACTAAAATCTAAAGTATTGCATGTAGCTTCTCATAATGATGTGGAAGCAACCAGTTTCCCTGTGGATTGCTCATAGTCAGATGTGTCGAAAGCAGTCAGTAGCAGTGTTTACATTATCAAGAGCGTGTAAGTGTACTTAATATTTCTACGAAGTAGATAAACTAAGCTTTCACAGTTATCCATAGCTTACAGCATTATTATATCCTGTGCCTCACTGGAGGCGCCCAACAATGTACGGAATAAACGTGAATCCGGAACTTTAGACAAGAATCAATGGTTATGTCAATTCGTCCTTTTGATACTGTGTCTGGAGAAAAACTAAATAATGCTGCCATATGTATAGTCAGACAAAGGAACCAAATGTTGTACATAAACAACTTAACAATTATTAGAGGGTATCGTTTATGATAAAAAGCTTAACGAAACGTCTGACAGCTGCTTTGTTCCTTTGGAATAATGGTGGACGTCTTGCACTTAATCGCGCGTACCGGTGAAAAGATCAGCATGTAAGGAAGAAATGCCAAACATAGTGACGAGACCAGCAGTGAAGTAAGAGGAGCCATGTGTGCAATCCACCAAGCAGTGGACCACGTTTACAGACGCTAAACAACTGGGCTAATGTCTTAGCCTTCGGTTCGCCCCCACCACATTACAAAGTCTATCGATGAGATAGCTATGAATTTTTGCGGCGAGTATTCAGTAGGTTTATCTTTGATCCACTCTGAAAGCGCTCGTCAATTGTGGACTTATCACTAGCAGCCAACTGTTCGGCTGTGCAAATAATTAGATTGACAATGGGACCAGTACAGTGAAGTCACTGATTCAAATTGATAGTGTGGAAATAGGGTCGCTGTAACACGACTTCCTTTACTCTTCACATAAAGTGGATCATAGGACACAGTAAAACCGGACCGAATAGCTCAATATACAGAGGTGGTAAACATACAGAAACCAGGATCCATAATGTTTACATGGTGGACATTCAAGTAATGTAAAATAAAACGGTCGTTTTAGAGATGCTTAGAATATAGTGGTGGGCAACTTCGGATGTTGTTGCCGGAATTGATTTTGATTTCACCAGCATGGTTCATCAAGCAGCACCAAACGAATTAAGCTGCAACGCACATTTTAAAATGCAACCGGTATTTGATGTATTTGGAAACATCGGGTAAAGCGAGAAACCGGCAGATGGACGACTAATGTTCAGCCGTTCCCAGTGAGTAAATCCGGTTGTAACAGGCATGTTTTGTCCAACGATCACTTGACCACAGCGCGTGACTGTGGTTAGAGTCAACTGCGTAGCCAAACCCAAGATGACTACTGCGAGTTCGCCTTTTGCAACGCAACTCGGCGTGTCTTCTCGTCTACTGTAAGCTTTTCTAGCAAACAAACATTAATAAAACAACTGTCGAAGACGCACATTGCCACACACCGAACCCACCTGCTCTTCATTGTACACAATTGTGGCCAGGCAAGTGACGGGCCATGGATTACGACTCAAAATGCCCTTTTGCCAGGCGGAATCCATTTCTAAGAAAGCGGGTATTCCATGAAGTCCCACGTGAGGAAACACACCGGTATCAAACATCCGACGCACCAGCGATGGCGTCGAATTGTAGCACATAATTTTCTGCAGTTCCAACCAACAACAATGGCCGTCAACCCTGGCGAGGGTATGCACATTTTCGAATATCGCCTGAAAATGACATGCAATGACGAAACGCCAGGTGTTGGTAATAAAAAACAATACACTAGCTGAACTCGTTTTATAACTGACGCGAAAGGAAACGCAGGACACAAAGCTATCGCAAATAGCATGTTGTAATGCAACCTACGTGTTGTGTAAACCGATGGGAATATTTGTACTGCTGCATCACTAGGAGGCCAATGAAGAACTAGGTAATTCAACTAGTACCAGGAGACAGCAAGTAAGACAGTTGGCAATCATTAACTTAATGAAGTACATTTGACTAATGCATCTCCTATATCAGCGGATCTCCGGTTTATATCCTAAATGAAGCTGTCTTCCTTCAACTCCTTCTTGACTACGGCTTATTCTGTCTGCTTAAACATAAATTGATGCAGGTTGTGGGAATAAAGGTCAAGTCAAGCCCATAAATCCGGTGCTGTCGCTAGGACGTGTTGCGTCAGAAACTAATACAACATAATTTTTTGAACCCCCGCTAACGGATCCACGTGCGATTAGTTATTGTACAGCAAAACCTCCATCATTCGACAAGTAATGGACTAGACCAAATGGCCAACGTTGAGAGGTATTCAACCCACAGAGATCTGAATCCATAAGGTTCACATGGTGAACTTTCAGGCATTGAAAAATTATCCGGACAATTAGAGAGGTGGTAAACTTTGGATGATTTACTCTACGTACGCAACAGTATCTGCTTACTGAAGGAATCATATTTTAATGGGACCATCTAAGTTACATCCTCATTACTCAGGAGATGCGAATTCTTATTCCTGTTCAAAGGAAGCAGAAAGTTTAAAATTTGGTCGCGAATAACAAAGGGGCTCAGTAAACCCGCTAAGCAGCACCCATCAAAGGCAGTCCAGATGAAAACGATGTTTGGTGAATTGGCAATACCCAAATTAAGCTTGTCTATCGAGACTGCCACATCACTGTAAGCGATAAAACGTTTAGAAACCTTGAGCAATACGCGCAGCCACCGGTTGTCGAAATTCAAGACCGGAACGGATTCGCAATCCCCGGGATAAGTAAAATCTCAATGCCGGTGCAACTGTGGTGCTATTGAATAATAACAACAAATCCCAAAAGTGACAAACCTAAAACGGTTTCCTTATACAAGAAAGCAATAGAAACTTCAGTAGATACCACGGAAAACCGATCCAAAAGTCAAGCAAAGATAAGCACAAAATGCAAACAAGTGCGCGAAGGAGTAACCGGGCAGCACCGTTTCGAAGCAAGCCAATACACCCATTGATTGCCTACACGTATGGACATATGCCAAGCAGTCAAAGTCGCTTGATGTGTCAATGACTGATAGGGCAAAATATACCAATAGCATAGCTTGGAAGATCGATTGGCTTTGAAGATAGACAGGTTCGGAACAGCTGATTGGCGGAGTGTCTGTAATGCGCAGGATATGGTGAGAATGCCTGCGACGTCTGCGATGGGACATCGCTAACTAGCACATCAAATGATGAAGGGTGTAAAAGCGAAATGTGTAAGGCGGGTTCGAGTGACCATAGACGGTGGGCTAGAGAGCAAGGTCGAATGGTTTAGCAATGTTCAAGGGGTAGGTAAAACAAGCAGCCGGGGTTCTGGCACATTCAAAGGGAAATGGGCTGTCCATAATAAGGAGTTGTAGGGAAACGATGTGGTGAGAGGTCCAAACGACTGGACAAATTGATCTCTCTGATACAATCGCAGCAACTGACATTCAATTGAGCAAAGGGTCACTTAACACACACGGTGTGGCTACGTTTGGCCAAACAACACGCGAATTTATTGGCACCTAATCATACGACGCCACAGGAACAGTTTGGCTGGGAGGACTGTTTGGCAACTGCTACCTAAAATCAAATTAGATTTCGGTTTTGATTCGTTCACTTAACCGTGTAATTGAATTGTAGACGTTTCCTCACAAGCCGAGATGGCATCCTCAATGCAGAGGTGTTCACTGTTTCGCAGAGGGTGGTTCCATAAGACAGAACCAAGAACGGATGATGCCAACTACGACCCCATCCTTCAGCGAAGTCTACGGTCTAACTAGCTGTTGATCATGCGACTAGTCGGTTACTGCGTTCCACCAATGTGCTCGTGTAAGGTTTATTAGCTGTAAAACGCAGTTGGCTATCTCGCATTTTTACAGTTAAGGTAAACAAGATGTTAATAACCTAGGTGTAGCTCGATGGTTTTACTGCAATTTATGACACTTATGCACTTTAGCGGCGCAAAGCACGGGCTGGTTAGGCCTGTCAACAAGTCGGCTAACTCAGTGTATTCCCGCGCGCATAGATGGCCTTACCGAACACTGAGTCAGAGCTGTAGGCATTGTGTGAGGAAAGCAAAGCCATCCGAGCCGCGACAGATAAGTAAACCTTTCGGGCATCAAACTACTAAGGATCCGGAGATGGCAAGCCTGCGAATTATGTCATTTGCCCCATAGAAGTAGGCGAGACTGCGTGTTGGACAGGAAGCCAAGTGGCAGATATAAAACGAAAGGGGTAGAATTTACGATCAAAATATTAGTGTGATGACGTATGTCTGATAATTTGTAACTACGACCATGAATAATTCTAATAAAACATCTGTCGTCATCCAAGTTGTCTATTCTGGTATTCTCCATTGAGTTGGACTTTGTAGCAGGCAGTGAGCAGAGACGGTTAGCGTTACGACTGTGAGCATTTATGACAAACAAACATGAATAATCACAATAAAGCGAAGCTATTACCACCGAAAGCATGTGTAAGGAATGGACTATTAGCTAGTGAAATCGATTCCTATGAAGTCCCTTCTACTGTTACTATCAGTGATGAACGAGCGAAATGGCGATGATTATATCACCTTCATTGTCTACGATATCTATGCACTCCAACTGTACAGCCAACCTGGCCTTCTAGTATTTGAAGCACATGGCCTTAAGTGAGGACCTGAACGAGTTGGAATATCGATAGCTACAACAAATGTGTAAAGAGAAATAGCAGTCTCGATAGCTAACAGCAAGTTGCTTAACTGCATTCTAGAGAAAACGGATGTAGCACGTGATTTCCACAGCAGCAGGTGAGAGGGTTTAGTTATCAAGTTAATTGGTTCCACTGTCCTTACCATTAATTCGGCACCAAGCCCTCTGAAACTGAAACTGAAGCTGACGCAATTAGTGCTATTGGTTGAAAAAACCGAACTCTAATCTGTAGGTCCCGACAAATGATTCCATCGCCTGGCTTACATACAAATAATTTGAACTTTCAGGGCTGCGGATAGTGCCAAAAAAGGCGGAGTGAATCCACAGCCTATTCTCCGTGATATTCAACTTTTAGGAAAATCTGATTTCAGCTTGAGAGTCAGAGCATCAAACAAACCGATTTCTGTTGCTTTAGCTACATGCTAAACAAGCAGGTATAACCAATGGACTGGTGTCTCGATGAGTGTTATGGATTATTTGACAAACTAATTAATCTTCTTTTTGTGTAAACAGCTACCGATGTCAGTCACGAATTGTTCGACAATTGCTGCATTTTTTGATCAACCTGTCAGCAAACACACTCCAAATATTCTATCCATAAAGATAGATTCGCTGTAAATAATAAGAGAAGCTTAAATGACAAGCTCTTCTGATGCATTACTTTCTCACGGATGACAGGCGATTCGTTTAATAACCTTTCTCGTCCCGTTTAGCCAGCAAAATAACAGGTGGGTGGAAAGTGCTTACAGGACGTAAATGAAAGAACCATCGCCTTCCTTGAGTGTAAGCATGAATTAAAAGCAACAACAAGCAAATCACCTTCAATGTCGTGCGGTCGTGAAGGTCAGGTTGATCCAGCGTAGCTAGATATCCATGTATGCGAAAGTATTTGAGAATCCTTAGAGGATCTTCACTTATGCGAGCGGTCGGATTGCCAACGAATCGAATCCGTCTGTGCCGCACATCCTTAACTCCATCATGATAATCAAAAACGTATCCTTTGACACGAAACGGGATAGGCTGTTGACCAAAGCACACAGAAATACCGAGACCGCAAGGAAACGATCCTGGATGCACTTTGAGAAGCATCGAGTTGACTGTGAACTCCTTGTGCGCTGCATGAAATTCCCAATCTTTGGTGACAGGTGCGGTTTTTATCCGGATAGTAGTACTCAGGCCTTCGAGCTGTATGGTAAAATGTGATGTATTGCTCCACAAGGGAATAACGAAATAAGCAACTGTTAAGGGAAAATATCGGTGGATTGTCAAATCACAAAAATGGCATAACAAAATCGCTGTTTCAAGCGCTGCTGGCAGCGCTCAAAGGCATAGTGATCATGGCAATAGCCGTGTACCGCTGTCTGCTGAGGTCCAATCCCGGCTCAGTATATCTCTACCTGGTGAGTCCAAACAAATACGAAACTCATCGTGGTGTGCAGGGCTGAGAGCAACACCCAAATCTTCTACTTCAGTGACGGTCCCAGTGGTGGGATTAGCAAAGGCTAATTTTAAAGTCAGCGGAAAAGACCATTGAGTATGCGTATCGCAATCCAAGACACACGATCGGTGTTCATGAAACCGAAGTAAAAATGCTTGTTCGTCTCGCAAATTTCGATGAAACGTCGGGAGTTGAGTCAGCCGGTAGGTGAAACGGCAGTCACTGAGACGATAGGTTCATCATGTCTGTGTTTGTGACAAACTAGACGCGATAAGTTTCCTCACAGCTCTATCCGAAGCAATTGAGGCTGTCAATGTTGAATGCCGCATTTCCTGTCAACAGAGTCGTTCATGTACCACGAACCTGCTGACAGCTCCTGCATGCTGAACAGAATTCATCTGCACATACTAGCTGCATTCCTAAATGTACAGGAAAGTCTGGTTGATGACATTCTCCTTTACAGGATTGGGACATAGGTATTGTCTCTCTCCCCGCGGTTGATAAACAATTATCCCTGCGTATGCGACACTCTCTTAGACCCGATAGTTGTTCCAGTTGAGATGCCACAAAGCTCGATAGTGAAATTATACACAGTGCTTGTTTTATTGACGGTTTCGCCTGAGTGGTCATTCGTCTTTTCCAAATTAAAGTGATGCTCTTAAGCTTTTGAGAGAATTTAAGACAGCAACGATTGCGTCTAACTGCAGGCCGACTTCGACAGGATTTTGAAATGATCAGCCCACAGCCTAGTCCAGTTCACCAAGACCAAGTGCAAGGCGTTATGCACCTGCAGTCAAGAACCAGTTGCAAGCCAGTTAAAGCGGTAACTTTTACGGAGTTCTTCCCATGGAAACGTTATCCTACTGTTTCTCTGGATGAAGTTAGGTTATTGAATATTCAATAAGGCAACTGAAAATTTGGTCTCCTGTGGAAAGCAGCTGAGATTTTCTTCCACTCTGCCTTACCCAGCATGCTCAGAGCTTGTGTAAAGCTTTATGTGGAACATGCCGAAAATGTCTACCGTAAGCACTGACTTATTGCATCTGCGACCGCACCAGGTAGTCCAAATTCGTATGTTTAGCCGCAGCACGTGCTATATCTGGCCAGCACCCAAACGGCGGTTAACACATAGTATTCTGTGCACAGAAATGCTGAGCAGAACCTGGCACTAACGTTCGTGAGTCTAGAGAGCAAGAAAAAATAAGTTTGAATACATTTACGAGACCCAAGCAACAGACTAGCTCAGTGGCATGTAGCCTGCATTTAATGCAAACATATGACGGGCCGGAAATCCTGAAAATTTGCAGAGTCTCTCTAACCGACTTTGACTGAGAGCTTTAGGAGTTTACAGTAAACAGTATCGGTTTGTGCATGTCTACGGAAAGTAAATAATCCGAGGTATATCTGCCGCCAATATCTGATAACTAGTTAGAACACTAACTTGGGGAGACACAAGTTAAAGCTAGCCAGTGAGTACAGACAGTTGGTTTGTCTTTCTAACTACGATACTCATAGTTACGCAGTATATATTCAATGACACCACGGGGGAGACTGGTTACTTACAATTCAAACACAAAGCAATTCCCCTAAAATGGGCATGGTTAGTTTGGCAAAATCGGTGAAAGCTATATCACTACATTTGAGTTGGACTTACCGCGGGATTCACAGGTATGCAGGTATATAACCGCATTTTTGTGAGTAATCCGTTGGTTTGTGTATTGTAGATTCCTAGCAAATGCAGCTTACAAAGACAAAAAGCAACTGGCGCATCGCCTCCCCGGTTTATTCTTTTACACGTAGGCTGCACATCATACGGTGCATGACTTTTCACAGCTAGCACACTTGAAGTGGGAAAAAGTTTCAGCTGCGTTTCAACTGCCTGTACCGTGTGGCCAATTAGGACCGGCGATCACTTAGATTGCTGTTCTGACTGTTTTATAGGCGCAAAAATCGTACTTGGAGTTCTTCATGCATGGTTAACCTAGTGGGAATCATTTCAAGCAGGTAAGCATACTGATCCATGCACCATTCGATGTTTTCATCCTAACTATTTGGAAGAGGAACGTAAAGTTCTTAGCTAGCTTCATTCTGTATTCCCGGATATCAGACTACTGCTATCGTTACTACACTTATATAACCTGTTCTACATGTGGCTATGCTTAGGCCTCAAGCGTTTATCGAAACAGAATATTCAAACAGGCTAACTAGTAAGTCTCTGTTATATACCACCTTCAGTATTCATCGAGGAATGGTGTGCTACAATCTGAAATCTGCACATCGACTTTTTAGACATCACTTTTCGTGCGAACAAGGAGAAAAATCAAATTTTGCATAGCTGCCTTGATCTCCCACCCCGTTAAAAATGACCAGAAATCTTTTGATGTCCGCATTGAATTATTGATCGATTGCACTTAGTTCACATTCAACAGAGATACACGTGACGTTAGAGAGAAGCAGGCACACCAAAAATCGAATGCTTGCTTTAAATTTTGTGTATGTAACTCAGCGTTTGTGGCAGGATGAAGAGTAAATAGATGGTGTCGCTTGGTTTGAAAAGTAAAGGTAGAATCCCTTCACTCATATGCTCACTGGTGCGTTAAAGAACGTCAATTCCACCATCGTAGTTTGCGTTTTCATTGTTGACATTACATAGCGCAAAAGGAACCGACCGGATATTCTCAGAAATAGGCCTCATATAGATTTGCTTGGTAAGATGGAAAATATTGCAGATTTAAGACATGATAGTGCACGCAACACTAGGTTGAAAAGTATAGACAAGCCACTGCAATACCGAAATCTCTACTGACTGTTCGCAAGGCTAGCTATACTGTGTGCACCAGATTGGTCAGCTCCACTAACATGTAATTTCAAACAGATTACTCTAGTACCTCACTAATAATGCTGCGCCTATACAACATCAGAAAGCGTAGGGAAAACAAAGCGTCCACTTCGAAATTTCAACTGGATAGTGATGTGATTAATTTCCGGATTGTCTGAGGTCGTTCTCCGGAATAGATCTTTATCAGCTATTTGCTGGGGTTCTGAAGCAGACACTGTTATCCTCGAGGAAACATGACACTTTTTGGCACACTTTCGTATGTTGCAATGCAACTTTTCCTACGCCCACAATGTCAGATTGCTAATACGGTCTACGTGACGAATAATACTAGTTTGTTAGGCCATGTGAGGCCGGAAGTAATGCTCTACACCTGTGAGATACTCCAACAATAGAAGATCTGCCTCAGATTAACCTATCATATTCGTCATTGGAAATGAAACTCTCGGTCTGTGAGAATTTGAAGTCACAGCTCCTTTCGGACCAAGTGGAATGTGTCCAAGGTTGCATTTGGCTTAAAGTAGGTGTAGTCTGACGATGCTGTTCCTATCATCTGTATCAAATTCAATTTGTCCTTGATAGCCACTCTGAATTCTTTAGCAGGTTGAAACAGTATTTATTCTTTCCTGCAATCTCTCTCACAGAAGGCCTTAGAATAATCCGCAGCACGACATGTCAGATATCGCACCGGCACGTTGAAACAGCGATGCGATTTATCCGCTACATCGATTTTGAACAGCAAATCGTCAGTGGAGGATGTTAAGTCAAGTAATTGACTTTGCTGCACAGATTGCACAAGTTTGTGTCAATGGGTGTCCCACAGTTTTGAGAAGGTAGAGTTTTAGAACCAAACTCAAAGGTTGCATCTTTGGTTGATAATCCGTTGGTATGCAGCGATTACTTAGTAAGAATAAATTTCGATCACCCAATGTAAAACCTTCTTTCTAGTGGCTTATTTGTTATGGTATATCGAAGTAGATTTCGTATTTTTGATAGTCGTGGCAAATGTTTCGATTTTTGCTTATACAGCCGGAAATAGATCACGTTTTGAAAGCGGCTGCCGCGCTGCTTCAGTGCTTTTCCGAAACGAAACAGACAGTCTAAAGTCGCTACTCAAACAACTAGAATTTTCGAAGGAGTAACTAAAAGATTCGAGTTACGCACCAATCCGTTGCGCCTTTGGTCTGAATCGTTCTCAAACGTTGTTGCCTCTTCTAGGTTTATTATTGCCTGCATTTATTTGGTTGAGTGGAGAGTAGAAGATTACGACATTTCATAACCTGTCTTTTTATATTCCTATCCGAATTTACATAAAGGAAATTTCTTACTTCGAATTGCAGATTAACAAGCAAGTCAAACCCATATAGAATGTAAAACTCAGGAATCTGTATAAACTACCAAGTACGTTTACCTACCTTTTTATTCATGGTGATTGTGAATGTTCCGTTTGTTTCTTTGACTACTTCTAATCCCGGAATGTCGTCGGGTTGGAACATGGTGCGCAGCTGATCAGGTGTAGCTGAGGTTACAAACTCCACGTAATCGGGCTGAGTGCCCAAAATTGCGTCGCAAACCGCAAGGCCCACAATGCCAACCTCGTATCCCTTGCGCTGGAATAGCTTGTATAACGTTATATATTCAGCTCGATAAAACTTTGTGAGTGCAGTTAAGTCAACGGGGAAGACTCGTAGTCTAAGCTTCTCAGATTGTGTAATGTCCGCCATCAACAAACTGAAAGTGCGAATAACTTCATTAAGTGTGCTCATGACACTTGGTAAGCCAAAATGGGTACATTGTATAATAACTAGATAGATGCGTGCAGCCTAACTTCTATTTCAAATCAAGTGGGACAAGTATGGTCACCGCAGAAGTGAAATGGGAAGGTTGATTCTTAAGCTAAAGGTCATTTCTGATTGCTTTGTTCTGCGCTCTATAGTGGAAGCTCAAGAGAAGATACAAATTAATGGACTTGTGGAATGGAGTCGAAAACAACATGACTCATTGTAGCTGCACAACAAAATGGCAATTTGACATGCCGCAATATAACTATAGAAAACAGCGGCAAACACGAAGGTGTGCGTAGGCCACAAGACCTAGCCTACTACAGCGATGGAATACGTATCTTTGAAGTCCCAGTTCGCTCAGCCAATCAGCCAAACAAAGCTGATCTTATCATAAGGTGCATAAGAAATTCAAGCTGAAAGTACAAGAACAAATATAATTCATTTTTCACTGCTTCTTTCCCATAAACTTGGTTTCACAAGGCTTAGGAAGTGGCGGGCGCTGCGAATCGCGCTGGCACGTTTAGACGGAGTGACGCAAAATACGAAAATATAACGATTGTGGAGGCAAAAATTAATATACACAGGTAAAAGTGTGTGTAAAAAACTTTGTAACAGTGATATACAATACTAAACTAAAATAGTGAGTGGGCAAACCAGATAGTACTTTAACGGTAAGCAGTTGAACTGAGAACTGTCTACATTATGAATAAGCGACATGCCACGCACAGGCGGCAAGATATAAGAACATAAAGCAAATGAAATTAGGTACCTAAATTAGGTCGTTTAGAGAGAGGGATCCATTTTTCAAAGTTTCAGTAGGTCCACATTTTCCAGGCACACATTTCTTTCATCTAACGAGGTGCGGGGAATGAAGCACTACAGGAGGGTCCAAGATAAGCCTAATTTATCCAATCCAATAATGGGCGCTTGTTTTTCACAAGCTATCATAGGTTCTTCTGGCTAAGTGTGAACTGAGTAAAAATCAATTGAAAAAGAAATATGAAAACTTAATGAGAACAAGGAAACCCTTTGGTGAGCAATTGCTTTCAGTGTTTCATCATCAGACCAGTACAATCACATATAGGGCTAACAATTGGAATGAGCAAAATCGATCAGTTAGTACAAGTAACACAGACGAAAAATCGAAACCAGTTAATTGCATGTTACAGAGTTTGACCTCATGTCATTGCCCTCAGCATGCCCCGTTTTCTCGGGCCAGGGAAGCTGTAGAACTTGGACTAGATTCTTTTGAGAGTATTAGGATGGTTGAAATAATCGAATACAAATTGCTTCGACTATCGCAAGTGTACGAAGGCACTGACGTAGCTCATTTATCCAACTGATCGAGTTGCAGGTTTTCCTAGGATATCAATGGGACATCAGTATAGATGGTATGAAGAATAGAGCGGTACAGAAGGAGAGCAGCTAAGAGATATATCTCACGCATCGGAACTATCGATGCGCCCATATTATCCGAGGCCATCGATTAGCCATCAATTGCAGTAAGCTAGAACGATATGAAAATGTAAGAGGAAGGGATGTAAGATAGAGCTAATTAAGCTGCCAACAAGGAAAAACGAGTTAGAGAACAGGGCAGGTTCACGTTTGGAAGAAACTAACTGAGTCAGCAGCCGTGGCGCCGATCGCCGGATATGGAGTCAAAGTATGGCCGGGGAGCCGCACTCTCCGCCATGGATTGGACGAATATGTAGGCAACTAGGTGAACCGGTCAATTAACCCTACAAGGGAATTGCTAGATAGGTCATTAGTTGTCCCGTTTAGAGGAATCCACGTGAGTTTTATGTGTCGTGACCGAATGTTCGAGTTGACCTTTATAACGGACGGTTTGACTGGGTACTACCGTCCAGTTTCCTCTCCTCTCCTCGGAAATCTGTCTTTTCTCTTTACTGTGGGTGCCAGCGATCTAGTTTTCTTTCGATGGCCAATAGTTTTAACCTACGAAGGACAGCCACTTCAGCCCGAGACTTAGTTAACCGTAATCAGCTTGTCCGTACCGCATGATATTCTCAAGGCTATTCTGCAGCAGAAACAAGCAAAATTTGGGGCGTCACAAATCAGGCTGACAGATACTCTTATGTATCAAGTGTCAATCCAGACCAGGTTCACAATCTACAATCATCAAGCCGTCGGCATTGGTAGACACCATCACTAAAAAAGTTACCCGATTTTCACGTGAACATGATGCTGGCAACATTATTGTATCCTGGCACATAGGGTAAAGAAAATATCTTCCGCGTAGAACTCGGACAACATGGTGACACAGGAAAAAGCTGATTAATGTTAGAGAAACTTAAAATAGCACAGCAGTCCAGACGTTAACTTTATAGTGCCAAAGAATGTTTAAGACTGTAAATATGATAAGAATGTCAAGTGTCTGCGCCAGGTATTTGGAGCACAGCTATTTTGATCCAACAAGAAATGTCAATGTCAAAAAACAAGATGGACGCGGAACAGCACGCAAGCGTAAGGGCGAACAAATTAACTTCAGAGCCAACATGGCAGATAAGTTAAAATGTACCGAGTAACAGTGGATAATCGACCACAATAAGTGCATAAGGTTCGAACAAGTCTGCAGAGCAGAGTTGAAAAAGATCCACAAATGACTGTCCAGACAATCACTACTGAGTGTTGGAGATCCCTAAATCTCAAGCTTGACGCGCTAATGTTGGAGAAAAAGCAGTCAACCCAGAGTCCGAGTGTATTGAAGACCACTTCAAAGAAACCTCTTCCAAGTGAAACTGGTCATGTAAAGCTCAGAGAAAATCCTAAGCTCCTACTGTCTGTTGGAAATGTGGTGAGTGTCATTTTGTTCGAGTAGGTCCCTTCCCGAAACACGCTTGTAAAAGTCCCATTAAAGGACAACAAGGGTACACACGGTCGATACGGACGGCTAATCAAACTCGACAGACACCCGCGAGAGAATACAAATGTTCACAAGCGATACAGTAACAACAGCATAGTCAATCCGGCCTACTCTTGTGCACATGTGGCTCGCAGTAAGTACAGCAGAGTCCAACTAAGTGGGCATAAAGTACACCTTCAGTTGAACATAGCCTCGGATATCCCAATTAACTCACACGAAACCTGGCGTTATGTCGGCGTTCCGTCCATTAGCTCAACGGTACATGTTGCATTCAATGCTTTTGGGGGTTAAGTTAAGCGCCATGGTACAGCTACATTGTGAAATGGCTTTTCGGCTCTATTCAGACAAACGACATCGTGTACATCACGAAGCTGTCACATTTGAACCTGTTTGGACTTGACATTCGACATTCCCCTGAGTCAAGTCTGTGAAAACTTCAAGCTTGTACATGCGAGGTACCTTTCGGACGAGGATGATTCAAACAAAAAGCTGGTTGTTTAGCCACACAGCTAACACAATGAAACTCGTAAAGGGCTTCGGGCAAAACTCCGTGCTA